CTATTAGTTATTAAAGTTATAAAATGTTAACAATACATTGATTAATTACTGATCAGAACATTGCCCTTCACCGTTTCAAATATAATATGCAAGTATCTGCAACAACACTATACAATGTATACGTGAGGTTATTGAGAGGTTAGGTGACGACACAAACATATTTCAATATGTATGTATCCTGCCAATTAAGAAGAGTGAAAAGAAATTTAAATTTACCTACTTGTGTGACTCAGATTATGTTATTATGTGTTAAGAGGTCAACTTTTTACCTTATTGTATCATGTATGCAGATGAAGTGACTGAGATGACCACATCATTATATGTTACAAGTGGAAGAGATGACTGTTTCTCCTATAAACTGTCCTAGCAGAGACATCTATTTATCCGCCCAATTGAAACTCTCCTGAGTGTGTCAGTAAGTAGGACTACACATGTAATACAATTGTTATAATATTACAAATATTATAATATTATTTTTTTCGATGGATAATAATTATTCAAATATTGAAATCATTTCGATTTGAAATATTTTATTTGTGAAGTTCTGAAATTATGTATAGGTCTTGCCAAATAGATGCCCTATTTATTTAATGCACTGTGCCATTATTTAAAACAAAATTATTCGCTTAACTTAAGGTGTACCTGTTCTATATTTTTCCAAATAAAAAAAGGGGAATCCATAAATTTTTCATGTTTTCATGCTTGCCTGCAAGTTAATTTTAAAACATTCTACTAACCCAACCTACGTTTTCATAGTAAATATTGAACATTTTCAGGAGCCAAAATTGATATTAAATCTACCAGCCCAAGTGTTGAAATAGTTGATATGTACGGTATTACACACCCCTGACAGAAATTCCGGTTGAAATAGGTTGAAATGGAGTCATCTTCCCCCTAAACTCCATCGTTTCTGATTGTTCAATGTTGTTTTTTAGTCCAATGAATGAATAAAGAATGCATTCTTTTTATAAAACTGTATTACTTCGCAATACAACTGGTTTTTTTTGTATATTGTGTGGCATAGATGATCACCAAACCTTGTATGTACCAGGTATATATCAACTGCTATTTAATGCATATACTTTCTGTTGATATGTATACACTACATGTCATTAAATTTCATTTCAGGGTGCTAAAGGTGAAGCCTGCACTTGACGGGGAGGAGACTGATGAGACTAGGTAATGAGAGGGACAGTCAATCTTGAATGCCTTCCAGTTGGGTTAGAGTGCAAGTATCTTCCCTGTCTACCTCTAGATGTAATTAATCTCATATTGGTGATCGATCCAAACAAAGGAATTATGACATACTGTGTTTGAAATCTACTTCTTAGGTTAATAGTGCATTTCAGTGACTATTCTATTCAGTCCATTTGTACTGGCCTAAGGACTGTCTTTCTGTGGCTGTACAAGTTTTATGGGTTTTTCATCATGTCAAAGTGTTTACTAGATGTAGAAAGTGAGGCTAAAATGTGTAGTGTTAGGCGATGAATATTAAAACTTTCCTTGGCTAATAAAATGATGGGAAATGATCAAAATAGAACTTGTTATTTATTATCTACAAAAATAAAATCAAAAATAGTAATAAAAATAGGAATAGCATATTCTGTGCCTGAACAACAATGCCTGTTTTATTTTCTGAAATTGATGTTTAACAATTTTTTGAGAAAAACAATCACTAAATTGAAACATCAATATTTTAAAGTTTTCCACAAATTACCTCATCGACCTTAAATATTTACATGGGAAAAGTCTGCAGCTAAGCATACCTCCATTTCCAACTGAAATAGAATAGTCAAATACACAGATAATGTATGTACTGTACTGGGTGGTCGGGTGATGAAGTGTATAGCGCACTTCGCTTTCAACAAGGCAGCCGGGGTTCAATTCCCCGATCGGACATGAAAAGGTATGGGGTTTTCTCTGGGTACCCGGTTTCTTGCTACAGTAAGGCACACTGCTCGCTAATATCCATGCCAACAAATGTCATTCATATAAGCTGAAATAACATATTCCATACTTGTTGTAAAAATAAATAAAGTTTATATTTAATTCCTGTACGAGTTTTATCCAAAGTGTTGCAAGAATATACGCTTAAGAGAAATAAAAAATAAAAATGGTGACTATTCAAACAGCCAGGACGTTTTGATTTTCTAGATTTTTTTCTTTGTTGCATTCAAAGAAAGAATCTCTTCAGTACATTGAAAACACTTTGAACTGGGCATGACTGATATTCAAAGTGGCGACGTGATTTTAATAAGACAGTGACCATCCTTGCAACGTCAAAACTCGCATACCTTAATTTCATGTGCGGTCATTCCCAACTCACACAACTTAATTACACCTGCGGTCCTTCCAAAACTCTCACCACTTAATTTCATGTACGGTCATTCCAAAACTCGCTGTAAACATATTTTTGTCACAGCTATAACCGAAATGAAACTGTACAAATGTGAGTCTATAACGTTTAAAAGTACAAAAGTGTTATTTGTCCCATGGTCATATGGGACCCTATTTGTTTTCACATTTCAATATTTGTGTATGACTTAATAACATATTTAATTATTCCAATTTAAATGACTTTCTCTTTAAATCATGCTTGAACCTCTGGAGTGAAGCCAGAAATGCCACGTAAAAATTACTATACATACACTGTTAACCACCGGTGACGTTTGTATCAAACTTAACAGTAATGTCGGAAATAATGACGTTGTGATCAACGTCAGAAGTCATATAGCATACTCTTTAAAGTGGCGTCAAATCGTCAAATATTGACGGACTGACATACTTTTTATATTATTTTTGACCAGGAATGTTTCTAGATTTCGAAATCATAAAAATCACAAATTTATTTTTTACGACTAAAGGACTCTGACTGATATTCCAGGCGGTGTGATACTAGCGTGCATGAATCTTCGTTCAGAGATTATCATACTATGACGTCACAGACACGTCATACTTCATTGGCCTTAATGGGGTTTTTCCGGAAGGATGAAAAATAACCGGTTCATCGTCTAAAATTTCATCAGCTTTTGAAAACCAGTTGTTGAGAATATGAACGAAATAACTAAAATATTTGAAGTCTTTTTATAGTCTTACCATACATCACCACTCATAAAAGAAACAATTGGTAATGCATTTATGTTGAAATCATCAATGATTTTCCAGACCAGCAATACGAGTTTAATGCCAATGTAAGCTCACCTTGCCCGAATCTTCAAACAACTTCTTCTGTATAACCATGCTGGGATGTAGCACTACTAATTTTGTTCAAATGAATGACATTCGCCCATTTTCATGGTCACAGAGGGGTCAAATATGTTTAAACCTTTCAACAACTTCTTATAAATAACCAAGAGTCATAGGGTGTTGAAATTTGGCTAGTAGCATGCAGGGATAAGGGGCTAACAAGTTTGTTCAAATGAATGAAATTTGCACATATTCAAGGTCACTGGGGTCAAATATGTTGAAATATTTAAAAAAAAAACTTCTTCTGAATAACCAAAAGATTCAAGGTGATGATACTTGGTCAGTAGCATGCAGGAATGAAGGGCTTCCAAGTTTGTTCAAATGAATGACCTTCGCACATATTCAAGGTCACAGGGGTCAATTGTCTTAAAAACCTTCAAAGGTGAACAACCACCAAATGCTAAAACACGTCAATTTTAGTGTCAAAATATTAATAAAACATATTATAATTAGTTTTCATTCTATTTTTTCAAAGAAAAATCCGTATTTGTGCATAATTTATTATTTGGAAACCGCCCGTTTAATCGTACACCTTGGGAAGCACAGAGTATGTACGCAGTTACTTCCCTTTGGCTGTGACGTCATTTGTGACGACCGGAAAGCGCGCCAGCTGTCAATTCGGAAGCAGTCGTCCGGAAAACGTTAACAAACATGGTACACTGAGCTGCGCTGAACTGTAACAGTATTTTCAATACACACGAGACTCTGTCAAAACCATTTTGAACCAGGCAGCTTCGTGAGAGATCCACGATTGATGTCGTCGATAGGCTTTGAACCTCAAAGTCTGAGATTAAATCCGGAAGCGATACCAACACTTTTTGATTATTCACCGAAGTGTTCAAGCAGTTTGGTTCATACGTCAACCCCTTTAACCTCCAAGACTGAGGGCCTGTACGAAACACCGAACAGGAAAAGAGTAAGGAGCAATGTCGTGCGGAAAAGGCGGATACTTGAGGTAGGCATGCGTCAAATACTTTACATATTTTAATGCATTTTGTACCACGTTATAATATGGTAAAAGGTATAAATTTCCTTAAAATCATAGACATATATATACGTCTATTCAAAAGAAGATAACAGGCCATGTTTATAGAATGACATGTATAATGACGGCTAGGTATATATCGGATTATAAAATAAACAAGATGCGCGGTTAGTGTTTGTATTGAAATACTTCAATACATGTAAACACGTGTATTTTACGGAAATATGGTATTAATCCGACATTTCCGTGTATAGGTTTTAGCTGAGATCACTAACCTACAAAATACCAGTGATGAAAATGATGACCCAAATGAGCGTATCATTAGATACAGACCAGACCAGTGCCACACAGACACACAGACTGACCCAGACACCATCGACAAATGTGTGGGTCCAGATCAACCGATGGATGTTTATTCAACTGGATGTCAAACCACCTATAGCCTAGTTGTGAGTAATTTGTAGAAGTTCAAAACAAACATGCCTTGCCCTAGGTACATATATATATAAATTATAGATGCATATTTATTTATGCTATTGTACAAATATTATTTTCACATATATCTCTTGATTTAAAAAAAAATATCTATATTACAACTTTTTCATTTATATTTCAGCAACGTAGACATGTAAGTCTCCAGGTTCAGGTGAATAATGGCAAGTCCAAGTCTTGTGGAGTTCAGGCTACCTGTAGCACAAACACATCAAGTACCCAGTGTCAAAAGCCAATCCGAGAGAAAACACCCACTAAAATGAATGACATGGAAAACATGAATTGCCAAACTGACTGTGAGCCAGCTGAAGACCAAATGAATTGTGATGATTCAGACCCAGACTGGATTCCAGATGGTGCGGATATAACGGAAAATAATTGTAATCGCATGGATGCAGGAAATACTGAGCCAGATAAAGCCAGGAAGTATGTTGTATTTGAACAGTCTTTGTTAGAACTTTTAGATTTGTGTCCTACATGCAACAGGAGGAATTTGGACCATGTGAAAACATTTATTGGAACATGTGTTAGTGTATGTAGCACATGTGTACCAGTGGTCAAGCCAGCCATTTTCACAGTCTATGCCTTCGGGGAACCTTATCATTGCTAGTGCAGTGTTTTTCAGTGGAATAGCCCTGTGAAAACTTTCAATTTCATGCGACATGCAGGAATTTGGGGTTTAAGTTTGACTACCTACAACAGACTGCAAAGTACATACATTGTACCCTCAACTTTGTCATGCTGGCAGTTTCAGCAATCTGTGTATATGGCTAACATTAAGAGAAATGGCAGTTCAATCAAACTTGGAGGAGATGCTAGATGTTCATCACCTGGCCATACTGCCAAGTATGGCAGTTACACAGTGATGGATGTCCAGACTGCAAAAGTGGTTGATACACAACTTGTTCAGGTGAGCAAAAAGTATTGAATTACATACATATGTATACATTTATATCAAATGTTTAAATTTTATTATTTAATTATCACTTTACAAAATATATCAACACATGTATGCAATTTAAAAAATAATTCAATCAACTTATCAACAGGGGCCAAGTTCATTTTATAAAACTACTTGTTGGTAGCCCTTACTGATGAAAATGAATTTGAAATGTATATAGTGTGGGCATAGCTATAGGATAGCTATAGGTCAACTTTCTTAAATTGGATCCAGCTATTCACTTACTTAGATTTTTGGAACCTTTGTACATGCATGTGTGATTACCCGAAATTATTACTTTAATAAATTAAAATCATAATTTTGATACATTCTTGGCATTATAGTCAAATGAAGTGAAGAATTCCTACAACATGGAGCTTGAAGGTCTAAAGAGGTGTCTGCAGTTTCTACAAGATGATGGTGTACAAGTGACTGACATAGTGACCGACAGACATTCTCAGGTCAAAAAGTACTTGAGAACTGACCATCCAACAGTTAACCACTGGTTTGATGTCTGGCATGTTGCAAAAGGTTTGTTCATTAAAAAAGTAATTTAACCACTACATACAATGTACATGATATACAACTTTGTACGTGGAGCATGCATTGTTTTTATAGTATCTCCTCCAGAAATCAATCATATGATACTTGAGAGCTGTAGGCAAAGTTTGTCATTTAAAAAATAATAAAAATAAAAAATAAATTGGTAGGTGTGTACAAAAAGTTGGAAACCCTTGGAAAGTCCAAGAAATATGCCCAAGCAGGACTCTGGGCCAGGTCTGTCAGTAACCATGTTTACTGGTGTGCTGCCAGCAGCGAGGGAAATGGAGAACTTGTACGTCAGAAGTGGACCAGTATCCTGAACCACATCACTGTCATTCATGAGGGTCATGGAGATTTATTCCAGTCATGCCAGCATGGAGACATTTCAAGAAATTGGATCAAGCCAGTTATATGATATTTCATTCTGAAAAAGTATACTTATAGCTACGTGTTTATGCAGTCATCAGGATTACTTTTAGTATTAACTATATGGCTTACTGTATATTTTATAAGGTGCATATCATAGTATCAAAATTTTGTAACAAGATCTAGCTAAATTAGGAAATTTATTTCTGTACATAATGCTGGCCTCCACAAACAAAGATTTGAAGTAAAACGTTAGCAGCATTCATGGCATGCACCTTCCTACACTTTTAATTTAAACAATTGACTCAATAAAATTATCTCTAACGAGTCCGTATACTAATATACAGCAGGCCTTCCATCACAGGGATAGCAGATATTTAACATGCTCCAGACTAACAGAGCTGAAGATGAATGTTTTATATTTAAAGTCGGCTTAAAAGTATATAAAACCTAATCACAATTAAAGAAAGATGTATTTCACGATAAATTGGTACCAAGGATTGAAAAATCGAGCTTAAACGAACCATTCTGGTGTAGCATCTGTATTGACGCAAGCCATACTGCCGGTTTCCTGAGCCTGTTCGTCGTCACTAACATCCAACTCAGACGATTCAGATTCACTTAAAACCTCTAAATCGGTGCAGTCTGGCTCATACAGGTATGGCTGAATGTCCAGTGTGAAGGAAACTTCTGGAATATCCTCGTTGTCACTAAAATCCACGGAATCCATAGCCCCGGTACCAACTAGTTCAGTAGTTGTTGTGACAGACGGTCGTCGCAAATGCCGTCACAGCTCTTCCGGTTTAACGAACGATAACTCGTGCTAACTTGTATTTGAGATTTTCAATACCGGTTACAAATTTGCTGATTTTCGCAACTTTTGATGTTTTCAAAATATTTTTCATTTTACGGAAGGGATATTTAATGAATAATGTCCCCAAAAAATGCAAAATATGTGAAAATGAAATTGGGTTTTTATCCCCTTTAAACGACTTCTTCTATATAACCAAAATGTCCAAGGTGATGATATTTGGCAAGTAGCATGGGGGATGAAGGGTTATCAAGTTTTTCAAATTAATGACCTCCGCCAATATTCAGGGTCACAGGGTCAATTGTCCTAAAGACCTTGAAACGACTTCTTCTGTATAACCAAACGATTCAGGGTGATGATATTTGGCCAGTAACATATTACGACGGAATGCTCTTTTTTTGGCAATAAAAAAGGGGCATAACTCTGCCCAAAAAAGCATTTAAGAACTCATTCAAAGCATTCAAGTCAACTAAGTAGTTAGATAAAAATCGCAGAACAATTGTAGTTTGCGTAGTGCGTGAACAAGAAAAAGTAAACGACAATAGAAAAAATTCGTGGAATTTATATCCCCCGCTTGCAGGACATATTGTAGGTAACATTATTGACGTTAGGTTTAAACATGTGAGTATCGTGCTGTTGAGACCAAGGGGCCATAACTCCGCCAAATCTGGTCTGATTAAAGTTTGGTTGTCAAACATGGCCGAGCCCTTAATGCGTTGAACTCTGATACTAAGTTTGATGACAATCGGATAATTTTTGCGAGAGTAAATGCAAGGGGACATATCTCCGCCAAATAAAGTCCGCTGAAAGTTGTCATCGAACTTGGTCGAGCCTTTAAGGCTTTTAACCCTGTTACCAAGTTTGAAGAAAATCAGGTAATATTTTTTGCAGTTATTGCGCGGAAACGAAGCGTGACAGACGGACAAACACAGATTAATATCCCCCGTTTCGGTGAAAGCAAGGGATAAAAATAAAGTACAGTGTAACTATGTCAAGTGTGATACACCAAATCGCGGAAAGTTGAAACTCAACAGAAGAAAGCGTTAAATATGTTATACATTATTGCTTCAAATATTACCATACCAAATTTGAAAGGAAGTGATAAAAAAAATTAAACAAAGTTCTAGCATTTACTACATAATGCCCTTATGATAGAAGCATATCCCTGCAATGAAAAAAGGAACAAAACCCTGCCAGCATTTTAATATCACAATTTAAGGGACTCATCCAATGCATTCAGGTAATGAATCATCCTACCAAGTTTGACAAAACTGAAGAACACTTGTTTGAGTTATCACGTAAACAAGCAAAAGTTAACAGCAAAAACGATGAACAGCGTTGCTATTGCAAGTGTGATATGCCAAAACGCGGAAAGTTTAAACACAACAGAAAAACCTGTTACTACACAATGCCCTTATTTGGCAATAAAAGGGGCATTACTCCACCAAAAATGCACATAAACTTCTGAAATGCAAACTCATTCGAGCTATATTGGTGCAATTGGATGTGTATCATGTTTCATCAAGTTATGTTCATGAATGAAGGCAGGAGAGCTATGACAAGGAAAAGCTAACAGACAAACGAACGGTCGGTCGGACATCTGTCAGTCACTGCAGCCCATACCATAATAAGACCTGTCGAACGACGGGCGTATACAAACTGCTTAACTGTTAGATGGCAATGGCCACAAGATGCTTTTGCATTCTGTTGTACCCAAGTTATGTTCTTTTGCGTTGCCGGGTAACTCGCAAACCATAAACATGATCCGTGCCCTGGTCGTTGTTGTTGTCTGGTTACTCGCATCAAATGTGCTTATACCGTGGTCCAGGGCCTTCAGATCATCAACAATTACCTGGTTGTAAATGTGCAGCCTCTTTGGTGCTCTGGGACCTAGAAAGATCCAAGCAAATAGATATAAGAGTATGCTCTCATTACATAAAATTGAAATAGAGGACACTTATCAATATCCCCAGTGGGGACAGACATTACAATGTTGCATACTATACAATTGTTAATGGCAAAGAGCACTACAACTCACATTGTTGCCTTTAATTCTAATCAATCCTCATTTTGATAATGTGTAAAAATATCTATGTCATTGAAATTTGAAAGTACTACACAAGGTAAAACAAAATATGGTACATGTATACACGTACCTGTAATGAAACCAAATAGCATGGTCAATGCACTCCTTACTTGCAGCTGAGGTGGCAGGTTCAGGATCGGTCCACTCTGTGCCCAGATACTATAACTTCCTGCAGTGATGTTATGGTGGAAGGGGTTAAAACCATCTGACCAGTAGGACAAGACAATAGCATCCTTACCTAATTGCTCATGAAAGCCTAACCACGCTGGCGTCTTATGCAGGTCGTTAATGAACATGGACGCTGTGACTCTGTGTACCTTCAGAAGAATGGCTATCCGAGTCACTTCCTTCAGCTGCTGCAAACGGGATGCGATGTGAATGGTGTAGTACCTGTTAAACATTAAATTATATTTAGTAACAATTAAAAATATGACATAAATGTACATGAACTAAAAAGGATGCTTTTTCTTTAAACACAAATAGTTTTTTACTGTTTTACAGATCATAAAAGATCATTAGAGAGACAGATCAGCTAGAGCGTATCATGCATCTGACTGTACCCTCCAATGCCTATTTAAGTAACAGCAGCCTTGATCTGAATAATTAAAATGTTTAAAACACACTCAGGCACCTTTACATATCACAATGTATTAGCAGGTCAAATTTCAGTGTTTTCCCCAGACCTGGGAATTTTGAAAACCATGGTTAATGCAAAAAAAAAAAAAATTAACATTATTTTTAACCCAAAATGTGACCCCCGCAAGTAATTTGCTTCTTAAACCTGTCATGAATTAAATATCACCTACACGTTAACATTAATTTTAGCATAGGTCATTCAACTGGATTTTTCACAATATTTACACATGTGCCGAGTACGAAACTAAGACTACATGAAAAGCTAGCTTTTGTTGTGTAGACACAGATTTGTAAATAGCCTAAACTGTAGTTTCTTTAAATATTATGAAGCCAACATAGTTGTTATAGAAGTCTTTAGAGCCTTTTTTATTCTTGAAGAATATTTTAAAAAGAAGAGGTATAAAAGGTTGGGATGGTCTTTCTATCTGAAAATCATATTTCCTAAGGAAACGCTTGGCTGATGAGACTAGTCCTTGGTTCTCGAGAAAGTTTGTGTTAATTCGAAAAATACTGGGGTGAGGAAAAGGAATGAGGAGTTTGAGTTTGATATTGAAAAATGGCAGAAAATACTTCAAATTCCATCTACAGTCACAAAAAAATCAAAATTGCAGTGGTTTCAAGTTAGAATTATACACCATATTCTAGTAACAAACACTTTTCTTTTCATAACAAATTTAAATCCTAGTCCCTTATGTAATCTGTGTAATATGGAAAGAGAAACTATAGTTCATTGTTTATGGGAATGTCAAGAAGTGCAGGGACTACTGCAGAGACTTGAAACTCTTTGTGACATTCTTCTAATCCCTGTTTTAATAAATAAAGAATCGTTACTTTTTGTAATATTATCACCACGAGCGAGTACTGTTGAGAATGAGATTTTAATTCTTATCAAATACTATATATATAAGACTAGATGTCCTCACAAATCATTGAGTCTCAATGCACTTACAATGTATCAATGTCATCAAAGACCATTTCCTTGATCAGAACTATGTTAACAATAGTAAAAACAGTTACATAAGAAGGAAATTTGAAATTGATTGGAGAAAATGGAAACCTATCCTGGAATTATAACCAGCTGTCATCCTATAAATATGTATTTTTTCCTGAATCCCAAGCCTTGGCTTTGCCATTTTTCTCTTATTCTTTAAATTACATATGTACTTCTGAATAAAGTAAAACTATTTACATGTATGTGCATTATTATGGGACCTCTTGAGGAGGAGGATTGATGTATTAATGATTATTGAGGATGCATCTGTTGATGATGATGATGATAATGATGATGATGATGATGATGATGATGATGATAGAATGATGTTGATGATGATGATGATGATGATGATGATGATGGATTGATAGAATGATGATGATGGATTGAAATAATGATGATGATGATGATGATGATGATGATGATAGGTTGATGTTGTTGATGATGATGATGATGATGATGATGATGATGGATTGATAGAATGATGATGATGATGATGATGATGATGATGACGATGATGATGAT